ATGGAAACCGGACTCGCCACAAACACACCTGCCAAAACACCTACGCCAACGGAAGGCCAATGTGTTAAGAGAGAACGGGCATCATTGACTCAAAATTCACATCGTCTCTGCAGAATCCGGGCAGTTTTGCCCCGAACTTGAACCTGACATGGCACAGTTCAGACAGAAAGCGGCTCGCAACAGACCTCCGCTGTAGAAAAGAGTCCTGGCATGTTGCAAGCAGTCCTACTGGCGAGATGGCGGCTCTATGTTTCCCTCTTTGATATGAAAGTGAGCAACACACCGGGAGCTTTTCACACTAGCAACCGGAACTTCTATAGACCAGGGGTCATCACCCCCGGTCCGTGGCCCGGTGCCAGTCCGTGGGTTAGCTGGAACTGGGCCGCGGACACAGATCTCCACCACCACCCCACCGTGGGGCAGCCATCCTGGGAAGCCCCCCGATGCACGGCTTTGCTTCTTTGCTTGCTGACTTGCTCGCTGCCCACCCTCCCTAACAAGCCAGCAAAGAGTCAAAGCCGTGCGTCAGGGCACTTCCCAGGCTGGCTGCCCCACGGCAGCTTCCCCGTAGGGAATGGGCGCTGGGGGAAGCATTAGCATGAAGGCCACACACCAGCAAGTGTGACACACCCACCAGCAAACATGACACACCCACCAGTAAGCGGGGGGTCCCCACCCCTCAACCGGTCCGTGCATGGAGCACACACACCCCAAATGGTCCGGGGACCGAAAAAGGTTGGGGACTGCTGCTATAGACCCTTCACTTGCTGTCAGAAGTGGTACAATCTGGAATCCTTTCAATTTTGTTCTTTAGCCGCAGATGGTTCCAGTTTACTGGAGTTCCATTGTCACCTTTCTCCAGATCACTAACTCCCCAACTTTTATTACGTTATCATTGAGAGCATTTATACTCCTGTGCCTATGGAAGTGGATTTTGAGCCACGAAGCTCACACTCAAATAAAACTGTTAAAATTTTTAAATATTTTAAATTGTTAAATATTCTGCTGCCTTCTTTTTTTTTAATTTCACCCGTTTGCCAACAATGCGTTCTCTTCCCAGATCATAATGCCCTCAAGCAGACAAACAGCCCCCTGCTCCCCCCCAATCTTCCCCATCCTGTCCAGTCCAGAATTTACGAAAGTTGGAAATTAAACTCGCAGCATCCTTAATATGGAAACTTTAGGTCCAAAGAAATAATGCTGGTGGGTTCTGATCTAACTCCTCCTGTCTCTAAAACCAGGAGTGAAATTTCAGATTCATTTAAAATCCTTCCGTCACGGCAGCCTGGTGGGCTCACTCTGTGGTCCATGAAAGTGTCCCCCCCCCAAAAAAAAAGACCATGCAGAGGCCGGGGGGGGGGGAACAAAGCCTGCCTGGTGGCCACCAAAAGATGAAAGTTCACATCTGGGGAGATGGACGGTGGGAACAGAGATAAAGGGTGGCTGGGTCGTGGGGGACAGAAACCATTTCAGTGGGGAGAGTGGAGGGAAGGCTAGAGTGGGAAATCACACCGAAAAGAGACATTTGGGGGACAGGGAGAAAGGGGGGAAGAGAGAAAGGCTGGCTCCTGTTGAAAGGCCGAATGACCTCCGACCATCTGGAATCCCTGTCTTTTGGCCCAAGATGGAGGACTTGACGATAATGAGCTCTTGTTTGCAAATACCCCTCAACGGGGTTAAGGTGGGTGGGAGCAGGGAAATGAAGTTGCAGGGAAGAAATGCAAGAAGACGGTGGGGAAGATGATGGCTGGAGCAGGGCGGGGGGGGAGGAGGGAAAGCATGACCCCCTTTCTGCCCCCTTCTCCTGTCGCGAACGACAAAAAGCAGCAATTCGCAATCCTCGGATCGCCCAGCTCCCCGAATCCCACGAAAAACACACAAGGCGAAGTTCAGTGTGGTTACAGCTGCTGCCGCGGCTGCTTTGGACCCATCGTACCAATTAATAAGGGCCTGGAGGCACTGCCTGTCCCTCTTGCAACACCGGGGCCTAGTCAATAAGGGATGAGCGTTTCCATGGAAACAGGGAGCACTAGCCAGTTGGGGGGGGACAGAGAAAGAAACAGCAAGAGAGAGAGAGAAAAAAGAGAGATATCAGTGAGCTAATGAGATGAAACTGGGGACGAAAGCAGGAAAATGAAGGCAACGGAGGATCGAGGGGTGGGGAGGGAGGGCAACCCCTTCTAAAAGACTGTGTTGCCCCCCTCCTCCCCAAAACCTATTGGCTAGGCCTGACCGCCTCTCCCCCCAGTGTAGAACCGGGGGGGGATCCTTAGCTCCCGAGAGCACCCCGAGAAACCCCAGCCCCACGCGCGCACCCTTCCGCCCAACACAGAAGAATAAACTCTTGGCCCGAAATACCTTGGGCTCCCAACAGCCGTTTCTGACAGCCCAGCATCGCCATGGCAACCAGGCCAGGATTCAAACTGGGTCTCTCTCTCTCTCTCTCTCTCTTTTTTTTTTAATTTTTATTTTTGCCACGATGACAAGGTTTGGGGTGGGTGGGGGAATAAGACTGGGAAAAGAAGATTAAAAACTTTTTGGACTCTTAATACTGCAAGACAGCAAAGACAGAGTTTGTGAGCAGGGTGAGTGGGTGGGTGAGATAATAGCACTCCCCTGTGACCAAAGAGGACATCCGCTTTGCATGCCATGCGCCTGACCTTGAAGTGCATGCCATGCAAAGCGCACAGCAAGTGCATGTCATGCAAAGGTACGAAGCTGCAGAGGCTAATTGAGACGTACAGGTTCAAAAATTAGGAAAGCTTTAAAAAAAGACAGAACAACAAGGATCTCTTTCGGGGGGGTGTGTGTATGACCGGATGAATTGCACGCCTGCGGAAGCCACAAACCCAGTGCTCTCTGTGGACAGACCACGTTGAGCTCCCACGTTGCTATTTTTCATTTCAAATTGGACTAAAAAAGAACAATGGGTCAAACAGAGAGGACTGTCCTCCCTTAAAAAAAAAAAAGGACACGTGGCCGCCGTAGATGAGAGGGAAGGGAAAGCTGATCACAGCCCGAGGCCCGTGCTGTTCCCAAAGCAAAGACTGGATCTCCTCTGGAAGTCCTTACTGGGGTGGACTGCTGGTTAGGTTGGCTTGTTAATGCCCCCCAATTCAAAACCAACCCCTTCCCCAGCTTGCTGTGAAAGCACTAGCAAATTAGTCTGATTCTCCTCTTCCCTGACCCCAGTTCCCTTCCTCTCCCACCAATTCACCCCATGGAAGGGATTCTAACTATTAAGGTCCAGAACTGGAGAAAACTCCCCGGTGTCTCCCAGGGACAGTTCCTGCTACTTCTAGAATGGGATCCGAAGAACTCTGCAATGGAGAACAGAAGCACAAGCATGGCGACCAAAGAGGGAACCAATTCTGCCCCATCGCCGGGCTTCTGAAGACTTCGAAGGAACCGTCTCAAAGGCCAGGAAGACTCCGCTCCAAAACTGGACCCTCTGCTAAGGTCTCAGCCCTGAAACATCAGTGGGAACAAGGACAAGACATCTCGGAGCATGTGTGGTGCCTCTCTCCCTCACCACGGAGTAAACAGAAAAATTTCCAGCCAAATTGGTTTAGCAATTTATAAAAAGGTGGCCAATGACGAAATGTTGATCCATCTATTTTCAGTAGTACACTAGTATCCCTGTATCCATGGGATCAGTATCTGCGGTTTCACTTATTCATAGTCTGAAAATGTAGTATTAAAAAATTTAAAAAGAAAAAAACCAAGAAATATAGTACATATTTTCACGATGTATATACCAGAACTTGCCACTAGAGGAAGCCAGAGACCATGCTTCATCGCCTTGTTGGAATACCCAGGATGGTTTCTGGCTCCCTCTACTGGCCAGTTCTGGTAATACATGGTGAAAATACTTTTTTCTGGATTCCCCCCCCCTTTTCTACGCTATGTATAGTGTTTGCTATTACCTGCAGTTTTCAGCATCTGCAGGGTGGCGGTGGCTTGGAACCATTCCCCTTCAGATAAATGGGTCTTCCTGTACTTAGAAGAATGACAATGAAGAACTAGGAGGAATACTATTTCCCATTAAAATAAAAGAAGACAACAAAAATCTGGGCTGCCATGCCTTGGGCTACTGTCCGCGTTTTGCCTCCTACCAATTCACATTCTGTGTTCAAACTAATTAACTAAGCTTTGAAGTTTCTTTTTGGGAAGTGAAGGACATGATGAGGGAAAGATTAGGCATACTGTACATGGAAGTCTTGCAGACATAGAAGGTCACAGCTAACTGGGCAGAGAGTTCAGGGGGCAAGGGAGAGACAGCGGGGTTTCTCAACCATTATTGAATCCAGATCCGATGCAAAGGCAGGTGTTCTTTTGCAACTTGGTGTCATAATCATGAGGACTAGAAACACAGAAAGTTTAGGTTTCTCAGAAACCAAGTGTCATTCTGCAGCACAGAAGAGAAAAAGCAAACTGTGGTGCCCAACTAAGTCCCTGAACCATAGGAGATCCAAGGTCGAGAGCATTGGAATTCAAGAGGTACAGTGGTGCCTCGCTTTATGATTGCCCCTCATTACGACAAATCCGCTTTACAACGATCTTTTTGCGATCGCAATTGCGATCGCAAAATGATGGTCTAAATGTGGAAGTTTTGCTTTGCGATGATCGGTTCCCTGCTTCGGGAACCGATTCTTCGCAAAACGACGATTTTCTAACAGCTGATTGGCGGTTTCAAAATGGCCACCGGGTAATTAAAATAGCTCCCCGCTGTGTTTAGGGACGGATTCCTCGCTATACAGGCAGCGAAAATGGCCGCCGTATGGAGGATCTTCGCTGGACGGTGAGTTTTACGCCCACTGGAATGCATAGAAAAGTTTTCAATGCCTTTCAATGGGCTTTTTATTTCCGCTTTAAGGCGATTTTCCTGGAACGGATTATCGCCGTTAAGCGAGGCACCACTGTATATGAATCGGACACAACACCGCCACCCACCCCAAACTTGGGAATGGTCTTGCCAGCAAGAATTCTCAGCCACTCACCTCAGTTAACACCTGGTCTAGCAGCATTCTGGCCTCATGGGAGACATTCCACGGATCCCCTTCTTCTACCATCATGGAATCAAGAGTTCCCTTTTCCAAGACTACATCAAAGGTCCCATCCACAAAGGTCAAAGCCCGGGCATCCATTACTGCCCACTGCAAGCCTGGGCAATGGGCATAGTGGTCTCTCATGCTTACGATGCACGCTTCTGAATAGTCTATGTTGGTGATGTCTGTATATCCAAGTCGGAACAGGTCGTAACTCAGAGCACTGTTTCCACAGCCTGCAAGAGACATGGGTTACTAGTTCCTCGTAGGAATTCCATGAAAGCAACTTAACAGAGGAGGTCCTGGAGGCAAAAATCAGTTAGGAATAAAACAGCCATGGGGTGATCCTGATTTCATTCATTTCTTATTCTGAACACATCAGTTGCTCTGCATTGGGACTGCATATTCCAGATATAGACCATGAAATAGGTACTCAAAAACCTAATGCAAGATCATGGGTGGTTGATGTTCTGACTTCATAGGATCTGCACTCAGAGAACAAGTTTTTTGTTTTGGTTTTAACATACAGGAATTCTGTACAGTATCACCCATTTGCACTGTGCTTTATGAATTTTTAGTTTACAGGAATTCTGTACAGTACAGTGGTGCCTCGCTTGATGACGTTAATTCATTCCAGTGATATAGCTGTAGAGCAAAAACGTCGTAAAGTGAAATAAAAAAGCCCACTGAAAGGCATTGAAAACCGTTCAATGTGTTCCAATAGGCTGAATAACTCACTGTCCAGCAAAGATCCTCCTTAGGGGCGGCCATTTTCGGTGCCTGTATAGCGAGGAATCCGTCCAAAAACACAGTGGGGAGCCATTTTGAGCAGCTGGCAGCCATTCTGAAAACCCAACGATCAGCTGTTTTGATCGTCGTAATTCGAAAAATCAGTTCCCGAAGCAGAGAACCGATCGTCATAAAGCAGATTTTGCCGATTAAACATCATTTTGCCGTGAAGCGGATTCGTCGTGAAGCGGATTCGTCGTTATACGGGGTAATCGTTAAGCGGGACATGACTGTATCACCCATTTGCACTGTGCTTTATGAAGGAGAAGACACATCTCTGCACCAAGAACTCAAAATCTGGAAGATACAAAGGAAATCACAGAAGAATGGGAGGGAAATAGAGGCAGAGAGTCCACCAAGAACCACTGGAGTTTGGAAGTCTTGGAACATGGGCTGCCTTTGAGCATGTGCAAAGTGCACTTCCCTGGCCATGCTCCTGTGAGATTTGGGGAGCAGAAGATCTCCACCACCTAAGTCTGAACCGCAGCTCTCCACAAAAGAGGAGTCCCGTGATCAGATGCTACCCTTTTTCCAGCTTCACAGATGGACGGGTGATCTCGCCTTCTGAATTGTTTGCTCCTAGTAGGAGCTTACTAAATCTAGCAAACCAAAAGTGATGAGGGTGGGGAAAGAGGTGAGAGAAGGGAAAAGCAGGGCTGAGTGGGTGCTGTGGATCACAATTAGCTTAACTTGTGATGAAGCAGCCCTTAATGAGTGGGCTACAAAAGACGCTTCGATCATTTTCTCACTGGGGTTGACATTTTACAGTATGTGCTGGGTGTGTGTGTGTGTGTGTGTGGAATCACCAACATTTCTACACCTGAGGACAGGCTGTTCTAAGCATCCTGGCGTGGCATCTCAGCTCCACCACCGCTAGCCCCTGGGATTTCGATCCTGCCTTGCTTTTTCAATCCCTTCCCCTCTGAATGCACCGCACATTATAAGGGCTACAGAGTAAATATGTGTTCCACAAGCCAGGCATCCCACGTAAAATTCAACTCTCCGATTCCATTTTGGTTCCACTTTATAAGTCTCGAGCTGTTAACGGAAAGGCAGAGGGATCCGCTGCTGAATGACTCGGCCAAACGGCACCGCCACCCCACATGAACCTTCGGGCACACAAAGTTATTGGGCAGCAAAGCAGTTAATCAAACTGATCGACAGAAAAGTTAATAGTTTGAGGCCAGGACAGAGGGGAACCCCTGACAAGCTGACCTATTGTGAAACCCCACTAGACCACTGAAGCAGCAATGAGAGTACCAACTAGAGGATGATGCCCTGTATGGTTTGGGTCCTGGCTACCTGAAGGATCGTGTCTCTCCCTCTCTATGAGCCTTCTTGGCCCTTAAGGTCTGTAAAGGATGTCCTCTTCTTGGTCCCACTGCCATCGCAGGCTCATTGGGTGGGGACCTGAGAAAGGGCCTTCTCATGGATGATGATCAATCAAGTCAAATGGGGCTGCTTGGATACAGGACAAATATTCTGTGACTGTGGAGAAATTCAATTCATGCAGCACTGTGGATGCAATGCATGCCCAACCCCAGGTACAAAAGAAGATCTAGTAAAAAGCCAAGATAACGTTATTGAAGTAGCCCGCTTCTGGTCAAAAATAGTCCAATTATCTTTCAATTTTGCCTGTATTTCATATGATTCCAGATTGTGCAATGATCTGATACAAATAA